CCACGCCCCTCCAGCCCGGCTCCCCTCGCCCCTCCAGCCCGGCTCCCGTCGCCCCTCCAGCCCGGCTCCCCTCGCCTCTCCAGCCCGGCTCCCCGCGCCCCTCCAGCCCGGCTCCCGTCACCCCTGCAGCCCGGCTCCCCGCACCCCTGCAGCCCGGCTCCCCGCACCCCTCCAGCCCGGCTCCCCGCACCTCTCCAGCCCGGCTCCCGTCACCCCTCCAGCCCGGCTCCCGTCACCCCTGCAGCCCTGCTCCCTGTGCCCCTCCAGCCCGGCTCCCCGCGCCCCTGCAGCCCGGCTCCCGTCACTCCTGCAGCCCGACTCCCCTCACCCCTGCAGCCTGGCTAGCTCCATCCTACCTCAGGGCCTTTGCAGGGGCTGTGGCTCCCACGCACTGCTGCCTCCAATGAGCCCCTGCTCCCCTCCTCTGGGAAGCCTCCCCTGGCCCCATCCCCGCCCTGCAAAACCCTCTCACGGTCCCCTGTATGTGCATTTCCTGTAACTTTTATCACACTATCAATTCTTTTTTTAAATTTTTGTATACTACTAAGAGACAGGGTCTCACTCTGTTGCCCAGGCTGGCGCAGTGGTGTGATCACGGCTCACTGCAGCCTCCACCTCCTGGGCCCAAGTGATCCTCCCACCTCAGCCTCCCACATAGCTGGGCCCACAGGCACGCCCCACCACAGCAGGCTAATTTTTTTTTGGTAGACCCAGGGCCTTGCTCTGCTGCCCAGGCTGGTCTCAAACTTCTGGGCTCAAGCGATCTTCCTGCCTCAGCCTCCCAAAGTGCTGGGACCCCGGCACAGGGGTTCGCACTAATTGTTATTTAAATGAATCATTGAACAGCTCCGGATGGAAGGGCCAGGTCTGCCACCTGGCGAGGACAGAAACTGAGTCACCTCCAGGTTTCCCTCCAGAGCCCGGCTGGGGACCTGGCACCCAGTCCAGCTTCCAGGCAGCTTTCTGGAGTGAATGAATGACTGTGCCGTGGGCCGGGGCCGACCCACCTCTGAGCCCCGCCGTGGGCAGCAGCGGGTGAGGGCCTGGCCTGAACGGCTGCCTGCTTCCCATCGAATCGGGGTCCCAACTCAGGAGCGGACACCGTGCCGCACACTGGGAGCACGTGCGTCGGGGGCTCGGGCCCAGGCCGAGGGAGGGCAGGGGCCGGGTGCTCGTTCATACCTTTGGTCTCGTCCTCGTAGACTTTGATGCCCTGAGGGAGGGGCTGCCGTGGGAGCAGCGTGGTGCTGGACAGCACCCGGGTCTCCCCAGTCACCTTGTCCTTCTCCACAGTGATCTCAACCGAGTACATGGCTGGCACGAGAGTCACGCGGTTACGCCACAGCCCGCCCGCCCCCTCGTCCCCCGCTGGGCTGCGGCCAAGCCAGGGATGGGGGAGCCAGCAGTGCAGAGCCAAGCAGCGGTGGGGCAGGCGGAGCCAGGGATGCCGGGGCAGCGTCTCGACGCGGACCTCCCCAGCTCTAGATCCCGCCATAGCTCCCCAGTGCCCAGGGCGACCGGTCTGAACACCTCTGCTGTCCCGCCCAGATGGTCCTCAACCCTGTCCTCTGCGCTGCGTCCTCTGCCTGGCCACCAAACTCCTGTCTGGCCAGCTCGGGTTCCAGCCCAGCCCACCTGGAAAGCCTTAATTGTTCCCAGATCTCTTTTTCTTTCTTTCTTTTTTTTTTAAAGACGGGGTTTCACCATGTTGGTCAGGCTGGTCTTGAACTCCCGACCTCGGGTGATCCGCCCGCCTTGGCCTCCAAAGTGCTTGGATTACAGGCGTGAGCCACCACGCCCGTTTTTTTTTTTTCTTTTTTGTTTTTTTTGTTGTTGTTGTTCCCAGATCTCTTTAAATTTTTTTTTGAGATGGAGTCTCACTCTGTCGTCCAAGTTGGAGTTGCAGTGATCCAACCACCTTGTGATCTTGGCTCACCTCCCGGGTTCAAACAATTCTCCTGCCTCAGCCTCCTGAGTAGCTGGGATTACAGGCATGCGCCACCACGCCCGGCTGATTTTTGTATTTTTAGTAGAGACGGGGTTTCACCACGTTGGTCAGGCTGGTCTCGAACTCCTGACCTCAGGTGATCCGCCTGCCTCGGCCTCCCAAAGTGCTGGGATCACAGGCGTGAGCCACCACACCCGGCCTATTTTCTTAAATACAGACAGTCCCCCTCTGTCACCCAGGCTGGAGTGTGGTGTCACGATCACAGCTCACTGCAGTCATGACCTCCCTGGCTAATTTATTTATCTTTTTTGGAAACAGGGTCTCCCTATGTTGCCCAGGCTGGTCTCAAACTCCCGGGCTCAAGCGATCCTCCCGCCTCAGGCTCCCAAAGCGCTGGGATTACAGACGTGAGTTCCCGAGCCCCACCATTCCTGGTTCCTCAGAGGAGCAGGCGAGTCCCAGGGAGTCCCTGCCTTGCCAGGGACCACAGCCGAGACTAGAGCTCAGTCTGCAGACCCACGATGCCCAGCCTGACCTCTGCCCACCCTCCCAGCTCCCAGGACCCCACGCCTCCTTCCAGCTGACCGTTGGACTCAGAGAATGAAGGAGTCCCTCCGGAGATAAATGAATATTGCTACTTCTCAGGGCCCTAAACCCACAGCCAGTAGCTCACCCCTGCTCTTCAAAAATCCCTCCCCCCAAAAACCACAAGAGCCTGTATCCTAACGGTGACTGTCTGTGGTGGCTGCCCGCCACCCCAGGCCTGCTGGAAGACGCCAGACACCGGAGATCCTCAACCACCTCCCGGAGACCCCATCCCGAAGTGGGAGCCGGACACGGCTGCCGGGACTGGCCTGACCCCCGACACTGTGCCCAGGCGAGGCATGGCTTCAGGGCCTTCGCATGGGCGGTTCCCTCTTCCCACACCCTTCCCCGACAGCTTCGAGCCTTGCTCCCTCACCCCCTCCCAGGGGCTGTCAGTCCCCACTGTGGGCAGCCCTGCCATCGCCCGACCCCTCGGCCCCCACAGGCACCTCCTTCCCCTCCTCCCACCCAGCCTTGGTGCTCAGGCTCCGCTGCCTCACTGAACTCTGCCCTGTGCGGGGACCTCGCCCAGGCACCGGGCCCTAATCTCCCGCACGCCCTTCCCCTCCTGGACCTTGATCTGGACTCAACCCCTATCTATCCACGGGAGCCCCACTCTCACATGTCCATGACCCCGCTCCCGATCTGCCCCCTGCTCCTGCCCCCACCCCACTCCTCCCACGGTTGGGGGCAGCTCAGTCCTCTCTGCCTCTCTCTCTTTTTTAATTTTTTATTATTTATTTATTTTTTTTTGAGACGGAGTTTCACTCTTGTCCCCCAGGCTGGAGTGCAATGGTGCGATCTCGGCTCACCGCAACCTCCGCCTCCCGGGTTCAGGCAATTCTCCTGCCTCAGCCTCCTGAGTAGCTGGGATTACAGGCCCGCGCCACCATGCCCAGCTAATTTTTGTATTTTTAGTAGAGACGGGGTTTCACCATGTTGACCAGGATGGTCTCGATCTCTTGACCTTATGATCCACCCGCCTCGGCCTCCCACAGTGCTGGGATTACAGGCGTGCGCCACCGCGCCCGACCTCTCTCTCTTTTTTTGAGACGAAGTTTCACTCTGTCGCCCAGGCTGGAGTGCCGTGGCACGACCTCGGCTCACTGCAACCTCCGCCTCCCGGGTCCAAGCGATTCCCTGGGCTCGGTCTCCCGAGCAGCTGGGATTACAGGTGCCCCCTGCCTTGCCCAGCTTATTTTTGGGTTTTTAGTAGGGCCGGGGTTTCACCATGTTGGCCAGGCTGGTCTCGAACTCCTGACCTCAGACGATCTGCCCGCCTCAGCCTCCCAAAGCGCTGGGGTTACCGGTGTGAGCCACCGTGCCTGGCCAGTCCTCCCTGCCTCTTATCCCCACCCCGATTTCCCCTCAAACCCTGGGGGCTCCCCCTTCAGAACACAGGGAACCCCCCACTGCTCGCCCCTCTGC